CTATGATTTCTTCCCTTTATAGGGTAGACCTTATTAAGGTCGCTATTTCTAATATAGTCGGCATAGTTTTATAAGATCTAGTCTATAGGTCCTTAGTCTTCTCCGAGGTATAATTAGATATTTTAATATTATTTTTTATCTTTTTATTTTCTTATATATATAAAGAAATTAAATCCCTCCTTTATTATTTATTTAAATCTATTATATATAACTAAGATATATTTCTTATATCTTAGGTATATATCTTTATTATAGAGTATTACCTCTATATTAAGGTAGCTTCCTTTAGGGTTTTATTTTTCTTTTATTATAATTTTTTATATAATAATAATAAATTATTATTCAAGGGTAATAAGTCTATTTATCTTTAAGATAAAATAAATATAAGCTATATTAATCCCTTTATTCTATCTATAAGTTCTATATTAATAGGTTTTATAAATAAGGTAAGGCTTATTATTAGGTCCCTATAGTTATATAAGAAAATAATTATATTCCTATTTAGTCTAGATATATATACTATAATAATAATCCTTATAGGAGACTTATAAGATTTCTTTATATTAGGGGTATATTAATTAGGTATACTTATTATCCCTTATATTATAATATAGTCCTTATTATGAGTTTATAGCTATTTCCTCGTGATATACTTAAATAGGGATATCTTTTATATATAAGTTATTTTCCTCCTCTTATTTTATTAATCTAGAGGTTTTTAATTCTCCTTAAGTAATTCTAAGGATTTATTCTTATTATTTCTTAATTTTATAATTATTCTATTTATATTTATATATCGCCTTATATAGGTCTTTATTATATTATATTTCTATAATATTAATAGAGTTATATTAATAAAAAACTTAATATCCCTTTATTTTATACTATAAGTATAGTTTATTATTAGGCTAATATAATAAGGGAATTAGGAAATAATCTTATTCTTATTTTTCTTTTTTATATTCTTTATACTAATAATATTAATATAATATCTATAAAATACTAAGGTATTCTTTATATATTAAGTAGGTTTATATATTATCTTATATATTAAATAATACTTCTAGATATTATAAGTTCTTAATTATTATTTAGTAATATATATAGATATATATATCTTATATATTAGTAGTACTTATATATTCCCTTGCGGTTTAAATATATTATTCCTATAATATATTTTAATATTAGTTTCTTTATTTATTATAGAGTTATAGGTAATATTTTTCTTTTTATAGGTTATTATCTATCTTAGGGTTCTATTAGTTCTAAATTTAGGCTATTACTAGTTATTATTAAGCCTCTATTCCGGCGCTATAATTAGGATTATTATAATATTACTTAATTTATCTTATTACTATAATAGTCTTAGTATTAGGGTCTTTATTAGGTTTATTAATTAGTTCGGGTAATAATTTCTATCTTAACCTCTTTATAAGATAGAACTATTCTATCCTTAGGGGTCTTATTATAATATATTATAGTTTTAGCTAAGGATAATTATTATACTTAAATTACTCCTTAGTAAGGTATACCTAGTTATAAGGTATAATAATTTCTCCTAGTTCTAGGCTAATATTATTATACTTAGTCTAGGCTATGCCGAGTATTTTAATTATCTATAGAGCTATTTATAGTTTATTATTAATTTATGCGAATCTTATTTATTTCTTACCTTTAGGGAGTTATTATTACTATAATTAATAATAGCCTTCCTTAATATTATATTATTTTTTATAATAGATCTTCTTAATATAATTTATCTTATAGTAATATTAATATTTAAGTCTATAGTAATTATATTTCTTTTATTAGGTAGCTCTAAGTTTTATAAGTCTTATATAAATTCTATAGGATATATTATTTTATTAATATCGCCCTTATTTAGTATTAAACTAAGATTTCTAATAATTCTTTTTATTATTATGGGGGTTCTAGAGTTTCTTTTAAGAGAATTATTAATTATTAATCTTAATTACTCGGCTAATATAATTAATAAGGTTATTAAATTAGTCTTCTTTATAGAGTTTAGCCTATACTTCTTTCTTAAGTCTATTAAAGAAAAAAGATATTAAGGGTTCTTAGTCTTAATTAACCTTCGAGGTAAGCTAAAGGTATTTAATATTATATTCTAATATAGAGCGAGTTTATTAAAATACCTTAATTTCTTTTTCTGCCTAGGCCTTTTTATCTATTATTTTAAAAGCTTATTAAAGCGCGGCTTTAAAAGCTTTAAAGTTAAAGTAGAGATTTATAATTCGAGGTAAATATTTATTAAGTAATTTAATAAAATATTCCTTTATAATAAGTTTAAACTAGGCTATAATATATTTAGTAAGATACCTAATAATATATTAAACCTTATTAAATACTATAATAAATTATATAGGGTAATAAAGTATAAATATATATAATTATATAAGGAATATTAATAATTTATATATAATATTATTAAACTTCTCTAGTTATTCTAACTTTAAGATTTCTCTAATATCTTTACCTTTTATAATAATAATCGCTATATTATTAATATTCTAAATATTCTTATAATATTACTAGTTTTAAGCTTACTAAGTAATAGCTATATAATTAATAAGTCCTCTAAGTTCTTTTATTTTAGTAATTATAATAATAACCTAGGTATAAAGTTATTTAATTTCTTTATTATTATTATTTATCTCTTTATTATTATTAAGATTAGCCTAAATTAATATAATAGGGGTAAGTAAGTAATTAATAAGTAGAACCTATTAATAGTTATTACTAGGAATAGCCTAAGTAGCTATTATATTTAATATTATTTAAGGTAATATAAATAATCCTCTAAATAAGAGCTATTAATATATAATAAGAGGATATTTCTTAAGAGATAAATTAATTATATTAGTTTATATTAGTAAAAGAGAATATTATATAACCTTAAAAGGTAATATAATATTATATCTAGTAATATACTTAAGGTATTAAGTATAACTAAGTTATATTAATAGCTAAGGTAATTACTATATAAGAAAATATAATAAGTATATTCTATATACTTATAGTTAATCTTTAGACTAATATTCTCTAGGTTCGGTCTAAGGTAAGACTAATATTTCTAATATTCGGTCCCTAGACCGATGCGGGCGATGCTCGGTCCCCTTAGTCCCTTACTTAGTCAGAGTATTTCTACTATATTTCCCCGCCTGGCTTATGTCATAGCCTTGACATAGAAGATCTAATAAATAAGGTATTCTATCTATTAGAAGATATATTATTTCGATAGTAAGGGTATTATATAATATAATGCGGAAATATATTAAATAAGAAGCTATTAATATATAATATCTAGAGTTTTCTAAGGGAATAAATAAGGTCTAAGTAAGGGCCTTATATTTATAGAAGTGAGGTCTAAGTGAGGGCCTTGTATTTATAGAAGTGAGGTTTCTTATGGTTAGTATATTAGGAAGGGAAAATGTGGGTAATAAAAATAATATGTGATAGGGGATATATTAGGCTATAATACTAAGTTTATTAATATTTATCCTCTGCTAAAGATAAGAATATTATCCTCTATATATATCTAGTACTAAGTTTATCGCTAGCGACCTTATTAATAACCTTCTTAACTCTAAGCAATGCCTATAAAGGCGACTCTTTTATAAGGAGATAGCTCTTATCCTTAAACTTTGAATTATCCCTTTTATTCCTCTTATCTTGCCTTCTCTTTAACTTTTAGATTAAATAACTTAATATTTATATCTTTAAGCTTCGGCGAGGTTACTAATAGGACGAGATAAGATACCTATTATAAATAATATAGATTTAGGTGGGAATACTAATTAAGAAGCCTAGGTCACTAATAGTTATGCCTCTCGTGGGAAATGGTTTTAGAACGAAGATACTAAACTAGAAGCTAGGTAAGCGAGAACGGCAATTTACCCTGTTGCTGTGTATCACATGTTTACGATCCAGGGAGGTGCAGAAGATGTCTGCTGCTGATACATTTTCTAATTGGCCCAAATGCACTGCCACGCTGCCATTTGGAATCTGGATGGCTGGCACAATGTTGCTGATTGGCCAGGGTGCCTCTACGTCATTGGCTTGGAAGGCTGTGCAGCGCCCACGGAGTCAAACGTTCAGGACAGCCCGAACTGTGCTTCGGTTTCCCCGAGCCATGTAGACAAGAACCTCGTTGAAGAGGTCAAAGAAAATAGCTTCCGAGCCAGGTATATAAAGGCATATAGAATTCTGCCATCATGGTCTATGATTCTATAGTCTAGACACCTTTGTAGCTCCACAGCTCACCTAGCTCGAACTGGCACCAGACCTTATTTGAACAAACGTCTTTTGAAAAACCCACACACCCATCCACTATGTCTCGCTACGCTACAGCGCACGCATGGGCAAACCTTGCCGGCGTGGGGGATGCCCGCCCGACCGCCCAACAAATCATCCGCGACTGCAATAAAGAAGACGGTCTCGCAGGCAAAGTCATTCTCGTCACCGGCGTCTCCTCCGGCATAGGCGCGGCCTCTGCTATCGCCCTGGCCTCTACCGGCGCAACTGTCTTCGCCGCCGGGCGGAGCATCCCCAGAGCCAAAGCCGCCCTGGCTGCTGTCGCAGACTCTCCTCGCGTGCACTTCCTGGAGCTGGACCTGTCTTCGCAGGCCAGCGTCAAGGCTTTCGCCGCAGAGTTCTTGAAGCAGTCGGGAGGCAGAATCAATATCCTGCTGAACAATGCGGGCGGCATCATGGCAGACTACAAGAAGACGGTAGATGGCGTGGAGAGTCAGTTTGCCATCAACTATCTAAGCCCATTCCTGCTCTTTGCGCTCCTAAAAGACGCTCTCCTTTCCAGCGCCACGGACGAGTTCCCCAGCAGAGTCATCAACGTTACAAGCAGCGGCCACCGCAACAGTGGCATCCACTTCGACAACCTCACCCTCGAAGGCGAATACAGCTCAGCCGCCGCGTACGGCCAAGCCAAGACTGGAGGGATATACATGGCAAGCGAAATCGAGCGCCGATACGGCTCGCAGGGCCTCCACGCGTGGAGCGTGCACCCCGGCGCCATCCTTGAATCCGCTTTCCTGACCAACAGCGGGTGGAATCAGGCATCCATTGAGCAGATGACCGGGGGCTGGCCAACTAAAGTCTTCAAGTCCATCGAGCAGGGAGCCGCGACGCAGGTTTGGGCGGCTATAAGTGATGATGTTTTGGCGGACGGGGTGACGGGCAGGTACTTGGAGGACGTCTCGGTTTCAAAGCCAAAGGATGAGACGGACTGTCCAGGTCTAAAGGGCTACGTTGAGCACACGTATGATCAGGGCAACGCCACACGCCTGTGGGAGGTCAGTGAGGGACTGGTTGGACTTAAGGCCTAGCTCGTTGTGACTCGGCTGGTATCCAATCACTGAATACCGTCTTCCCACTGGCCTTTGTTAATGTGTCTTCGGGCCACTGCCTCGGGCCCTTTCACTAGAGCATTTTTAAGTAGGTTTCGTATTATTGTGGCATTCTCCCTTTCAAAACAGGGACTGTTTTGTGTCCTTCTTCGTGTCGATGCCATACCTGGTAGAGGCTAATGACTCTCTTACAAGGAGACCCTTTTTTAGACAGCATAGCTGGTCGCTCATAGTTTAGTTGAAGAGGAAGAACCCATCTAGTGTCTTAGACAGAGCGACTCAACCTAATGTGTGATATCTGCCGTCTTATCGCAAGATACACTTCCAGCAATGGGTATATGAGCGTGAAGCGTGAGTCGCCTTCCATTTGATCCGATCCGGATCGATTCAATACTGGAAAGCCCTTAGACCACATTTCGATCTTCGATGACCATAGAAATGATCATGTTCGGTAAAAAATATACGACGGGCTTCTTCATCCATCTTCAGGGTCATTCTCGTCAAATAGTTCGGCATGACTTTCCAAGGCGCCCTTACTGGTGCTTATAACACAGACCTCCCTAACAGCACCCAATGTAGTCAACGTACACCGTAGATTGCGAGTCAAATCTTCGAATAGATACTGCGAAGGTTTTCTGATCCATCGATAAGCATTGGCCGTGTGGATATATTCAGCAGCAAGCTTGATTGACTAAGAGCCAACCTGCAGCACCTCCAAAGTGGTTTCTTGAAGGGGCTTCCTTGCCCGTGTGCGTCATTTTCAGCTTTGGCCTTAGCCTCGACTATGTGTTTCATTCTCCCGATCAAGGTCCACGCTCATCAAGCTGCTATCTATCACAGTAAAAAGGAGTACTCACCAAAAGAGTCCCACTACCTTCATCACCTTCATCTCACTCATTTACATTATCCCTTCGACTGTCAGGAGGCTCCAGTTGGGTCACTACAGGGGTGTCAAACCCATCAAATAGGGGGCGGCATGAAAGGTACATTATTCTCCACCTAACTTAGCCTGTGATAGAAGTCCCAACAATATTTTGAGTTACAAATCGCGACATCACACTGCTCACATCCCCCCCTAGATTGATGCCTCCTTGTATTGCTGCTGACCGCCCCCAAAGGCTTGCTTGAAGGCTTTTGCCAAGGCTTTCCAAGCTGTTGGCCCTTGCAAGCAACGCAGCTAGTTTTTTTCCCCTCTTTGGGCGTATTTATGCTGTGCCACGGGCGTAAATTCGTCTCCAGTCCGAAACGACTGCCTTGAGTGACTTTCCTTATGGAACGCCTTGAACAGCTCGTTATAAATGCGCCGGCGCCACTCTTTTTGACTCGTATATCGCTTCCAAGCCGGCTGCCCGTAGAGTTGAAGAACGTAGCTATTCACAAGCACCACATCGAGCAGGAAGGTCCAAGTAAGAGCCTGCCAAGCGCCTCTGCGGATCGAGTAATCATAACCGTGATATGCCCTCATTTGGTCTCCTCGATCCACATGATTCATTTCATCATTATAGGAAGCAGCCACCGTAGGGATAGACATCAGCTTGACTGGCTCACCACCAAAGAAATGCTGTATCGGCCGCGCTGTAACCTATTTCATTGATGGTTTCTTCCTCCAACGGTCGGTCCTCTCATCGCCCTTGAACACAGTTGATAAGAATAATACGAGGGCATTATCTTTCCAGGCGATTTGATTCACTACATAGTAGGTGGGTAGGTACGGCGGGTGGGTACTACATGGTATCGAAGCCATGACACAAAGCCTCAGCGGCGCAGCCCTCATTTGGAGGGCTATCTTTACCAACGGCGTCAACAAGCCCTTCCTAAACTTCATATTGAACGATCTGCCCGAATTGGGCCAGTGGTTATACGACCTCGTCAAACCTGGAAGCGCCTTGGGTAGATTTCCGGCCACTGACGGTGCGACCAAAACCCCAGATGCCGAGTTCCCAGGCATGGACAATCCGTACAATGAACTCGTCTTACAGCTACCGGAGAACAGAAATGTTGTGGTTTCCCAAGCACAGAGAGTAGCTTTGACCATTGTTGCCATTCTGAAGATGGGCAGAGGCAAAATGCCAAACAGGCTCGACGACCTTCAACTAAACGCCAGTCTACGCAGCGACTTTGATGCAAATGCCAACCCTCCATCGCCAACGTACATTTCAGCGCTTCACGGCGGGCCGCCGTCTTCACCAAATGAGAAATGGCTCTTCATCAACGGCATTGCAAACAAATTCTTCTGGTTTTAACGGTCGTGCGACAAAATCGGTGATACCTTCAACAGAGAAGTCACAGGAGTATACAACAGAAGCGACGGCATCCTCTGGAACTTTATCGAGTGTTGCGGTGAACGCAGGGCCGCTGAGCCAAATACTCTTATCGAAAACACGCAGAGTAGCAAGGCTGGTCAGAAGGCCCTCGAGCAAGAGCCTAGGGGTGCTTTATGGCCCGCCGCTGGTAAGGTCCCCGATATCATCGTTGTGATCGCGCACTCTTAGGCTTGCCTGGTCTTGCGCCTAGCGCTACAGACGCTGGTAACAGAGATTCCGAAAGGCTCCCCTCAGAGACGAATCATTAAGGAAAGGCTAAGAATATTCACCTTTGGGAACCCAAGTGTCGACTGGAAGGTGAAAAATGGGACAGAACACCCTTTGAGCAAATACGTCAACACTACAGAGCATTTTGCGAACGAGGCCGACTTTGTGGCCATGCTAGGCGTTGTGATGCACCGCGACGACTAGGACTCGGGTTATGACCCAAACTTGGTTTTCTATAGCAAGGCGGGAAAGGCGCATCTATTCGGTATATATTACTCTCTCGGGGTTAACGCTTATTACGGTGGGGAGAATTCATAGTTATTGAAAGCCGTGAATGGAATAGAGATAGCTTGAGCGATATAGCCTGGTATGTCATCTGCGAATGCGGCTCACTCCCATGGCTTTACACTTTTACCCTCATCGTAGCTGCCACCAGCGGGTCTCCACATCTGCCAGAAGGTCATGGGTTGCAACTCCTCGTCAATCTTCCTCCACGCCTCGCCAGGGGCCGTCTTTGTCGGTTGCAGTCGGTTAACGTTGACAATAGTGAACCCGTGCTTCTTGTAGACAGGTACACCATACTTGGTGGCATCCAGCCACATCTCAACGCCCATCTCGTCAGCTTTCTGCTTACCCCAGTCCATTATCAAGTCTGCCACGCCCTGACGCCGGAAGTCTGGGTGTGTATAGATGATATTGAGGTCTTGCACCATCAGCAAACTTTCCAAATTACTAAGTAGCGACTAATTTGAAGCTCGATGACAGAGAGGATCGAAAGGAATATTTGGGCTTTGACTTACAAAGTTGCGGTCTTGCCCCCATCTTGCGTCTTGGTGCGTCGAACTGCTCCAAACACTTGCTAACATATTCCCGCGTCTCTCCTTCCGGGTACCAATAGGCTTCAGAATAGCCATCGTGCTTTTCGAAAGGGTTTTTTGGACAGATCTTCCATAGACAAGCGCCAACAATCTTGCCGTTGTCATCAATGACCTTCCCCCAGTAACTTGTTGGATCCGAATTATGCCAGTCTAGCTGGCGAGCTATACATTCCTTAATTGACTCTGCTCGGGCAGTAGGGCCGTCGCCGTGAACTGGACAGAAGAGGCGGAAGAAACTTTGAAATGGATTCTCATATGCGGCCCATTGGCACTCGATGACTTCTTCAAAGTCAGTGGCGGTGTCCACCTCGAGCAACTTGAAAGGCATGATGCTGATCTTGTGGGTTGAGACTTAGGAGCTTGTTGATGCGCAGAATCGCATACGAAGATGGGTTCATTTGAGTCCAGACAGGGACAAAGTCAATGCATGCCGAGACCCCGAAAGATCGACTGATTACCTCTCAAGCCTCAAAAGTTTCTACCATTTTTTCTCACGGTGCTGGTTCCACAAATGGATCGAGAGGATGCTGCGCCACGCCTGACGGGAATTACCCCCATGAAGTTTCTCCTGCGTCCAAGCACACGGCAGGACGGTGGTTGTGCCTTTTGAACGGAGTATAACCAACGGGAACTGTGTTCTCTGACATCTAACTTTGAACTAAGGTGAGTGAATTTCTGAGCCAAATTTGAGGGCCGGGGTTTAGGACCAATGATGAAGGTTACATGGTGCGCGGGCCCTCCCGGATAGTTCTCCGCGGACCGATTGATCGACAGCCGCAAAGGCACGCACGGGGCAATTTGGTGATATCATATCTCATATCTCACATCCTGGTCGAATGGAGTGTCAATGCACATGTCATAAGGACATGAGCCCTTGAAATATGGCTCTTATCACTGTGCCTGAACTCAGTCTTGGTGAAGCTTGCCTGTTTTCGGCCAAGCTTGCAGATTGGTGGCGAAGTATCTTCTCCGCACACTTTCTATGCCAAGATACCTTGATTTAAACTGGAAGTTTGGACATCTATCAAGATTACACCCTTATGAACTGGTCCTGAGTAATTGAAAGACCAGTAAGTCACGGGCAGGTTTTTCAATTCATCACGGTGCATCATGGAACCACTTAGCTACGTCCTTTCCAGGGGGCTGTTCCAGACCTCGGCCGCGTGCCGACGGTGTTCCGTCGTCGGCGGACCGTGCCCCTGTTTCGTGTTTTGGGCTGGGGAGGAGCAGTGATTGAATCTAGCCAACTCTCGTTTGCACCCACAAGGCTCAGCCCAGACACTATCGACAAACTGTGCCAAGCCAAGTAAGTGAAGGCGATCCTGGCAATCTCAACTGCTATCTAGGTCAACAATGCCGCCCTGCCCTCTTCCCGCGCCGCTTCCAAGAAGCGGCTCTGCCATTTTTCACTCAATTCTTCCGTTACTCCCACCATTGTAACCGTAACAACCGCTGCTTCGCCCGACATGAATCCTACGCAAAAGGTTATCACCGACACCAACAAGTCTCCGCTAGTCCAGGTCTTAACCTTGATGTTCCTCGTCATCGCTCTTCTCGCATGCTCTGTCCGTACGGGAACCAAGATCCGCATGATCAAAACCCTGAGGGCCGATGATATCCTCACCATTGTTGCAAGTGTAAGTAGATAGGCCTGTCAACGCGATTCACCTAGCGAAACATCTAACCGCTGTGTGCTCACGCCCGTACCCGCAGGTCCTTGCAATCGGCCAGTCCATCGCTGTGTTCGCGGGATGTGATAATGGACTGGGGCGGCATTTCAACACGTTGAACTCCCGCGAAATAGACACATTCTTCAAGGTAGATGCGTTGACCGCAACCCGCAGAATCATGGACAGAAGGACTGATCGAGTATTCCGATTGTAGAGCCAATACGCGGCCAACATCATGTTCATTACCTCTCTTTTCTGTTGCAAGCTATCAGGCATCGTCGGTCTCCGGATTATGAGCCGGGAAGGCCAGAAATGGATCATTTTTGGCTGTGAGGCTGTCGTCGGCGGGTGGGGATTCACTGCGCTCGTTGTCAACCTCTTCCAGTGCCGACTGCCTACGCCGTGGAGGTACGCTGACGACAAAGACTGCATCAACCGAACTGCTTTCTGGACTTACTATTCCCTCACAAATATTGCCTCGGACATTGCTATTGTTGTCATCATGTGCGAAAGCGTTCTGAAAATCCAAACATCATGGTCCAAGAAGGCTTTGGTGATGGGTGTTTTTGGCAGCCGTATCCTGTACGTTTCAATCACGCAATTGCGATTAATCTATCTAGAATTTGTGCAATAGAAAAACGCTAACAAAGACGGAAAAGTGTTACGCCCGCAATTGCGGTTCAAATCTATTTTTCCAACAAGGCCTTTGGTGCCACCGATTTCACTTTCTCGATCTGGAAAGCCGCTATCGCTTTACAGCTAGTCCAGTGTCTCTCCATCCTCACCGTTTGCATTCCCAGCTTCAAGCCCTTTCTCGACAGCGTGGAATCCGGCCAGATCCGTATGGATGACCTTCGGCGACAGGGCAAGACTAGCACCAACGGCTACCCGAGTGGGAGGCCGGGGTGCAGTGGAAACAAGTCAAGCGGGAGCACCCCTCTAGGCACTAGGTCACGACCGTTCAGGTTGATCGAGGAGGCTATTACGACTGAATCACAGCATAGCCAAGTATTCGAGTTGGCTGACTTCTCTAAGCCAAACTCACGAGGGGCTGTAAAAACAACGACGGAGCAGCAGGGTGCTGCTTCGGAGGGGCAAAGCCGCCGCACGAGCCACTCAAGTCAGTCAATTCTCATCCTCCAGACATGGCAAGTGGAAGTGCGGGGCATGCACGAAAGAGCCCTTGGGGAAGATTGAAGAGAATTTCTCTTTCCCCGCTGAAGGAGGCACAGCGCTTTGGATCTCACGCACAGGGAAACATTGTAGCCCAGCGTCGTGAATGGAAATCGATCAAGGGGTCGGACAGCTTGAATCCCCAATCTTGTTAAGAGCGAAATCATCCGGGAAGCTGAGGGCGTGAAGAGGCATCAAGATGATGCACCACTCTGCAGGGGGCCAAAGCGAGGACCCAACATGTAGATGAGCCATGGCAGGGGTAATTCAATTCATAGGGGAACAGGTTTTGTACATGTTTGCCGCATGTTAGCCACAGGAGTAGTGCGGGATGGCAGCGATTTAAAGAGAATGCTTGTATACATAGTAGCACGGACATGACGGGGGCAGGGTGAAAACGAAGGAGGTGCCAACTTGGCAACGTGGCTGGATAGAAAAGGGCGGATTGGCTATTAGATCGGACAAGGGGGCGCTTTGACCTGGAATGGAGCACGATCAACTTTCCATGTGGCGTCTTCCCAAAGCGCCTCATAATGCCGTATGCCGCCGCCGCTCAATTCTTGTGCTGGACAGCCGAGAGACGTAAAAAAAGCAATGGTAGTCTGGCTGTGAGCAAATATGAACCCTGGACGTTGTAGCACTGACCCTCTTCACCTGCTAAATCAAGGCGCCGTCATCGGTAGACTAATGCAGTGTCAAGGACCCTGGACAGGTTCCAGGGTTGCTGACCTCCACAGTCATGCACCGGGGCACCGGAGCAGGCTGCCGGTTAAACCGCGAGAACAAACTCAACCTCAAGCATCTGATAGCACCACCAACTTCTCGCCTTAGGGAGGAGATGGTGGCGTCAACATCCCCCTTTTGCCGTCATCCTGACATCGTCTGGAATTCTTGGCTTCTCCTTTTATCAAATTTTTTTTCTCTCTTTCATTTCTCTACAACTTAAACTCTTCTGTCCTGTTCTTCTCTCATCCTTCCTCTTTAGTCCATCATTTGTTGAACTCGCCTTCTGCTTCCATTTCCCGCTCCGCTATGATGGGTAGCGACAACTCCAGCTATGAGCTGGGCAACACGGTGGCCGTCGAGGCCCATGAAGCCGGCGTCTCGATGGCGGTCAAGCCATTTTCTGCTCGGTCTTCGAACGGCTACGCTGATAGTGATCAATTGGCGCGACTAGGCAAGAAGCAGGTTCTCAAGGTACGCTACCTCGTCATCAACTTTCAGCCTCTATTACATTAGCTTCATTCCATTACTAACTACATCGCTTGAATAGCGAAATTTTGGCTTCATGTCGATTCTCGGCTTTAGTTGTACCGTCCTGATTACCTGGGAAGCTGTCACAGTTCTCTTCGCTCAGGGCCTCAACAACGGCGGCACTGCCGGCGTCATCTACAGTTTCCTTATCGTCTGGGTCGGCAACTTCAGCGTCTTCTCTACAATGTGCGAACTAGTCTCCATGGCTCCCACATCCGGTGGACAATACCACTGGGTTGCCATGATGGCACCGCGATCCTGCGCCAAGTTCTTAAGCTACCTTACAGGGATTCTGACGGTCGGGGGCTGGCAAGGCTCCGTTGCTTCTAGCGCTCTTCTCACTGGAAACATGATTCTGGGTTTAATATCTTTGAACAACGACAGCTTTGAGCCCAAGCTATGGCAAGGCACTCTGCTCTTCTGGGCCATATTCGCTTTCGCCGTGTCCATAAACACCCTTGTCAGTTCGGTGCTGCCCAAATTCGAGGGCTTAATCCTGATTCTGCACGTGTTGGGTTTCTTCGCCATCCTTATTCCCCTCGTTATTCTAGGCCCTCACGGAGATGTCGAAGAGCTCTTCACGACCTTCGTGAACAACGGCGGCTGGCCATCTCAGGGATTATCCTTTATGGTTGGTATGATGGGCAATGTTTTCGCCTTTGTCGGTACTGATGCCGCTTTCCACGTATGTTTTACCCTGTTTGAGAGTTTGCTGATATACACCCAGTGGAGGTCGTTACTTACTCGCTTTTGCAGATGTCCGAGGAAACTGTGAACCCGTCTGTCGTGGTTCCCGCTTCCGTCCTACTGAGTCTATTCATCAATGGTGCTTGCGGTTTCGCCATGATCATTGCCATGGTCTTCTGCATGGGTAATTTTGACGATGCTATCAACTCTGGTCCCGGCATGCTGGGATTTCCATATATGTATATCTTCAAGCAGGCGACCAATTCCACGGCCGGTGCTACCGTCATGGCTACAATTATCATGATCCTTGGAGCTTGCGCTACCGTCGGCATGCTTGCCTCGACTTCACGAGTATTCTGGTCCTTCGCCCGTGACCGCGGTCTCCCTTTCTGGCCCACCTTGTCCAAGGTCGACGACCGCACCACTGTTCCCGTTTGGGCTGTCGCCGTCACTACCACAATTTCGGTACTGTTATCTCTCATCAACCTTGGGTCTCCTATTGCATTCATGAACGTTACGTCCCTTTCGATTTCCTGTCTCTACGCCTCCTACCTCATGGCCGCTATTCTACTCCTCTACCGCCGTACCACCAAAGGTTTCGCGTTGCCAGCTACTTCAGATCTCCCAGCTCTGGCTAACACCACAGGCGCCGAACTCGTTTGGGGTCCCTTCCATCTTCCGGGCGCTTTTGGTATTGCGAACAACATATTCACCATCTGCTATCTGGCGGTGGTTGGCTTCTTCAGCTTTTGGCCTCCGGTGCTGAACCCAACCCCCGACATGATGAATTATAGCGTTCTAGTTACTGGTTCAGTTGCCATTTTTAGCGTTGTCTATTACTTCGTACAGGCCAGGAAGGACTATAATGGTCCCGTTGTGGAAATCTAACCGCTTAGGGCAAAGGGTCAGAAAGATTAGGGGGTCAGATCCTTCCAGCATAGCCCTCAGCACAGCCCAATTACAGGGATGAAACTATCAACAATACGAGACTCACCATTAGATATTCATTTAGCTAGGAAAATCAAGAGTCTCTCGGTGATTCTTATCCATCTGTCTGGGTGATATATAATGTTTGTGCGCCTATGTAATCAACCGCTTGCCTTTCTCGCTATCTTTTTCTCGCGGCTCTCAATAATCTCGATAAAAAGAATATCTATAAACGGTAATATATGGTTTATTGAACTTTTATGCGCCCTAATATTATTAGATACCCATAAGTCTGCCTATAAGTTGGTTCCGAAGTGGCCTATCGATTAGAGCTTAATCCCTATTATCGGTGATATCTTTGAGTTAGTCGGTGTGATTGTGAGTGTGTCTAAGTCTTCCGATCTAGGCCTTTGCTTTGCTCTCGGCTTTTTTTCTTTAAAGTCGACCGTGATATCTTAAAATATCATAATATCTCCATATGACGGCCGGGCCTGTCGTGAGTTGGGCGACAAGGCGCGTCGTCCCCTCACCGCCGCCATAGTCTTGCTATTCATCCTTGTGGCCACTAAACTGTCGGACCGCCCAAACGGCCAGAACTTGGATAGGAAGCCAGGTTCGTTATCTGGGGATCCCTCACGTCTATCCGCCAACTTAACGACGTGCCCAAACTCTTAGTGTACCCCTCGTATAAATTCTTGTTGACATTGTGCTGACAACTGGCACATCTTGAAAAAGCTAAGAGGCACAAATTCACAGTTAGGGCTCGACAGCACCGAGTGGATGGGAATCACCCGCCGCATCACAATCATGGTCGATTGCACCCATTCTTCATCGTCTCGGCAGGGTACACGAACCATGGTAGACGTGAGGACTGCGTCTTCAAAAAGGGGCTCTTATGTCCACTCGCACAGCGTCTTGATAGTCTCTAATAGCTGACCCGCAAACTCGCTCTCCTGAGCGTTTTGCCACGCCGAGATCTCCTCCTTTAGACTTTAAAGCATTTTGGAAGCTAGCATATTTTCAAACCGCCTGAGGAACTATACGTGCCAGTTCTCGAGTGTCTTAAGTGGAAGAGCCATGGATGGGAGAAGATGTCGGGCGTCCTTCTATACCAGAACCTCGAATCCGGAGCTGATGGAGGCTCGGATGGCGAAGAATCCTATATGAACACCTGGGGGTGCCTCGTCGTGCTTGGTTGTGTATGTCGACATGGATCGGAGTTTCGTCTCAAACTCGGAACTCTGAATCTACATGCACGACCTGATGATATTGCTCACCTGATGGAGCTCGGCGAAACGATAACCCGCTGACACAAAACGCTCGGCGTCCCGATCCGACTCGACGCAGCGAATTAACAACATCAATAAGCCGCGCCCAAAGTCCTGCTATCGAGCGTTGAGCCCCTTCTCTGCCATGTCAGAGCCGCTTTGGTTGTCCTCATGAGCGTCTCCCATTCCCCAAGAGAGACTTAGACGAGAGCCCATTCGAGACTGGGCTCGTGGCCACTTGCTGCCCGGGCCTGTAGGGATAATCTCATCCCACAAGACACCTACTGAGGTCATATCCTCATGAAACCGGTCCGCAAGCTCGGCTGCGGCAAGATAGAAAAGTTCCTTAAAAATGACGTCGTAGCGTTCAATTATCTCTCCATACTCGCTAATAAGCTAAATGCCACGTCGTCCGTCCTTATGAGTACTAGAATGCGGCAACTATGATATATGCCGCCTCATACCGCCGACAAAGTTCGAGATAGTACTCCAGTTTCTTAATGCCTAGAACATCCATTAGAAGATTAGGTAACTGATGCTAAAGCCGTCTTTGGTATTCTAGCGGAGTGAGTCGAGGTTCATACACAACGTGGCAGAGTATATATATCTACCTTTTCCAGGAAGGAGTCAGTAACAACAATACTAGGAATGAATCCATCAGGGTCAATGAGAATTCTTCCGCCCTTATCAAAGACGGCCGCTCCCAACGTGACCTGCTGCGCTCGAAGGGCCGACTTTCTCATATTCCTCGCGCGAATAATAGCTAAGGTAGCAATAATGAAACAGGCACCGAGAGACTATTCTGGATTAGCCGCACTCTTCATATTGTCAACTGCGGTTGCTTACTGACCAAACAGATAACCACAATGACAGTTGCACCTTTAGAGGGCTCGTTACCCTCAGACTTGATATCTCTGAGACGATAGCGAGTTCCAGTAGCGGCACACCAATGCATCCCTGATACAGCACTTGCAAGGACCGCAGCCGAGATAGCTCGCTTCTGCCACGAATTAGTCCACACAGCTCTAAAGACAAAGAACGTGAAGAGGGCAACGTTGCTGGCAACGACGGCGATGATAGCAGATCCGACGATATTAACTGGCCGATATACACAGGTATAGTTTTTGATAGACGCGTTCCCGAGATAGTGCATACTGCAGATGGCAACGCCGCAGAGAACACCGCCGACAATAACTCTCCACCAGGAAACGGTATTATTGGTGCCGATTGCGAGAAAGGCGACCAGCAAGACGAGGATAGGGATGAAGAAGGATACAGCTGTGAACCCCCGCGAGTAGGCTATTTGCATCTCGGGTTCTCCGTTGGCAAGATCGATGGCTCTGTTTCCAATGAAATGCTAGTTGGTAGAACAGATGGTGAGCATTCGAGTACTACGTGATGAAGATGGATATTGTTGTTACTCACCATGCACCAGATGGCTACTCCGCCCATGGTAACGGCCGAGCTCACGAGTAACAGGCTGATTTGGTCAGTGCGAGCATTCAAAGACATAATATGTGACTTTGAGCATCACAAACACGTGAACATACTGGTTGAACAGGCCTCGGAAGCCGGTTCGTCTTTTAATAAGCTCAAGGCTCGAGCCTGCGCCGACCATGCTGACAACGTAGCTGAGAGCGACGAAGCCGGCATTGTAGCTCTAGGGCACGATGTGATTCTGATACTCCCCAAGCAATTCGTAGGAAGTCATGATGAGACTAGAGCCCGCGGAAGAGCAACGGCAAGTTGCTGACACCGTGCAGTAGAGAGCGAGGATCCTTACTTGGCTGGGTGGAACATGAATGCGACTCGGGCGGCTCTTAACTGACACCTACAAACGGGGGCACGGCTTACGGAGTTTAGAAGCTCGGTAGCATTGCTTCTGGTTGAGTTTGGTTGCTAGGACAGGCTGGCCACGCTTTGGGATTCACTTGAGATGACTTGGTCATTCATTACGAAGTCGGAAGCCATTTTGGGATGCAAGATGCCCTTCCCACTATACCAGGATGGCCACCATGGCCACCATCAGACCAGGACTAACACCCAAAGACTAGCCAGGTGTGAAAGCTTGGCTGTGATTCGAGGACCCACTAGGAATTGAGACTGAAACGCCATCTACGATCTCTCTTCCGTCTGGGGTGTTGAGCTAGCTGATCGGGGGATGGTAACCGAGCAGGCTTGCGTAGGGGTGGCTTGAGCACTGCCCAGATGAAACAAAGATGACGGCGTTAAGTCAAGCTATGAATTCATACAACGGGCGCAGAATGCTTTTATGTAGGCATTGTGGTTGCATCGGAAAGCCTGTCAACATGCCTGGTCGCCGAGCCAAAGACTTAAATTGGTGGCGGGTCCGGTTCGCGGTCAAGTGCTCCGCCCAGGGTTTTACCCGTCGCTTGTGCTAGATCGGAAATAATACCGTGCTCGCAACTGGGCCTCTTAACGCCCGAGCTTTGGCAGTTAATGATGTGCGCCCTTCGTCACTAACGTCGGGGGCTGCTGCAAGGGGCAGCCGCCTCTTCCCACCATCATCATGAGAACCAAGGCCTGGAGGCGATCTCGGTGCACTCCACCCTTGTCTCTAGCCAATGCTTTTCCGCATCCGTATGTTTATACCATTGCCAACATTCACCCAAATCTTTTCTACGACACTATTCACCCATAAACTTTCTGGTAAGTTTGAGTGGCTCAAGCAAACCGCCAACCGGAAATGGCGCCAACGCGACGAGAACGACATCCCTCTCTGAAAAGGCCCAGATACAAGCTGGCACTACGCCGTCTCTGCAACGGTTGCAACGGTTGCAACGGTCTCCTTCATAAAGCTCTTCATGGGGATTGTTTGTGTACCAGCTCATCCGCAAGCCTCGCCAGATAGAACTAGCGGATTTCACAGGGCAAGCCTCCGAAGCATTTTACTACGCGTGCCACGTCTTGTCACCCCTTCTCGTATGCTGCCAGATCCCTGTTTCTATACACATCACGGCCAGTTGAGTACGCTCTCTCTAAGCCGCGGAAAAAGAGATTGGCTGCAACGTCCATATCAGCCGTAGGGCTCGCCGAGCGTAACCACATTGCCGGCAGGAATAACGCATCGCCAGGGTTCAATAGCGCCTGGTGGGATGAATTGCTGGCCAAGTTGATATGGAGAGTTCCGTGCACCCCCAGCTCAAGCTTGCGGAATAGGCGGGAGGCTCATGGCGTTCAAATGCTGAATCCATGCACTCTAGCGCTGCCAAAACAGTGTTGTGTGCACATTATGCGAGACCCAGCGCTTCCACCTAGGTCTGCAGCCTCGCGATACCCTGGGTCCTTGATTGGCGAGGAGGCGCATCTTCGATTCTCAGCGGCATATCTTGGTGTCTGTGTTTACTGTACAAATCTAGCCGAGACAACCGATATGAGACGCGACGAGATAAGACGCGGGCCTTCCTACATGATTACAAACCTTATTAGTTAGAAAATCCCGAGTCCTAAGGGGATGCGGCTCAAGGCCCCGCCCAAGGCTACATTCCAGAGCTCAAGGCCAGTCGCAAACTTGACGGCTTGGGATTATGTACATGCAGACTGTCCACCCCGCGTCCCCCTTGTATTTTGATAAAACACGCACAAAGGGGCCTGTGCTCATATTCTTGTGCCTATGTACGCATTTCTCATCCGTGCGCGGGCAGCAGCCCTCGTGGCAACGTAACCCAAAACGTAAAAGCGTGGTGAGGATACCCTGTAGCTAGACTAGAGTTTGGATTCACAACTTCGTCACCTTTCCCTGTATTCTTACTTTCTTGACACACAAATGTTAAGAAAGTAGCCTAATCTTCATCCATTTGCTTAACAAGTGCACTGTAAATCGTTCAACTGCGCGCCGCGCAGCCGTCGGCGGCGGCGATGGCATCTGCCACCTCCAGCCCGCCCGCACCCCGCTAACCTTGCCAGAGGAGCCCCAACTCACAAAGCAGAGACAGTCCCATCTCTATTCTCGAATCAGCCAACAGACTCGAGCGTGAATAAGTGGAGGCATATAACGCCAAGCTAACTATATTCCAAGCCTTTTGCGTATCATTCGCAGAGACTGCTTAACGATTCACCTCTGGACCGGAGCAGAGCTTTGCCGAACACTTTTCCCAGGGTTTCTTGGAATTCCGGAACTAGGCACTTGCCAACGCCAAATCTGCTCCCGTACCGACCTACAGCAGCATTGCCGCCGCGAACCTCGAGCGCCCTCCCACTCGGTCTACGACCTTAGCCACGAATAATGCTCCCCCATATTAACATCAACAACAACAACAAACAGGCCAGCGTCTCCAGGGACAACCGGCTCCTCTTGCCTCACCTCCCGACGACCTCCGCGTTTTCGTCTGGCTCAAAGCCGAGGCGCCGGCCAGAAACCAGATCGGCTATGCCATCCAGACCCATATTTCCGGCAAACTAGGTATTAGACAATTAGCTCCACAGGGATCTTTAATAGCACCAGTCAATTTATGAGAATTATCTAAAGAACAAAGGAAAATTAAACAGCCATATATTCGGGCACAGCTATTTAAGCTCATATCGTTAGGACTAGAATCCTTGATGCGATAAGCTAGATATAAAACCGGATACACGACCCCAAAGTACGGGCCGCGTTTCATATCCAGTCGCACGAACCTAGTGGTAATATGCGACATTGGGCATCGACCTTGGCCGGATCCCGCAGGCGATCCAGGTCAATACTGGATGGGCAATTCGTACGACTGGCTCAACCACCCGTGATCTCCTGATCCAACGACTTCGACGAGCAGATGAACTCCTCACCACGCGCGTACGACCACTGCTCATCCAACAACGCTTCGACAGCGACCAAGCAACACCGCTACAAACAGCATCGAAAGAGGAATCAGCAACGGCTTCCCATCAATGGCTAAGTACGGTGCCACAACATACCTTGATTGTATACTCAGACGGTTCCCTGTCGAAAGACGGAACCGCCAGCTATGGGTTCACCATCCGGCAGGGCGACCGGTCAGTTCTAGATGGCTCCGGTCGCCTACGGTCCGCCGAGGTCTTCGACGCAGAAGCGACAGGGGCTCTCAGAGGCCTGCAAGCCGCGCTGGGCCACCCTGATTCGGCGACACAAGGCATCGTTGTCTGCCTCGACAACCTCGCGGCCGTCACCCGCCGGCGTGCCAAGTTGAACGATGGATTGAAACCAAGCAGCGGTGGATTTGACAGCCAAAAGTGTAGTACCACGACACGAGTTGAGGCAGTTAACAGAAGAGTAACAGACGAAAACTGATGGTCCAGTCGCGTTTTCATTAATAGAATAGAAGCATTAAAAACCCTCCCAAGTTGTAAAATATCGCCTAGAAATTTCACCGTAAAACACCCGTACTTGCTTCAATGCCTTCAATCAACGAGCCGCGGGAATACCGTTTCCAGCCTCGAGGGTATCGTTAGAGTCGGTCGAGCATCGCCGGTCCTTAACAAACTTGGGCCACGTGTTGGTCAGGACGAGGTATTTGATGCTTCCTTCAGCATCGTCAAAGATGGTGGCGTTGAAGCCCTCGGGGATATCCCCCCAGTAGAGAGCCTTGTCGCTGATGGACCCCGAGTCGTTGTTGATCGACTCAGTCTGCATGATGCCCGTCTCGGAGCCGTGAGCCGACGCCGCAGACGACTTGGTCTTTGTTAAGGTCATCTGGAACGAGTCGAAGGGCGTGGCAGGGTCGATCTGGCGCTCCTCGCCGTAAAGGATACGGGCCGAGCTCTCGAAGACAACTTCCAACTTTCGGAGGTCTTGAGAAGATAGATTGATCTGGAACTTGGCGTCGTAGGAACTGACGAAGTTAGTGTAGATGCGGAGGGCGCTGTTGTATCGTTCGCGGACGAGCTCCTGGATGGAGGCATCCTTGATCTTCTCGGGATCGCGGACGGCAGCGGGCAGCGAGGACTTCCACTCAGCGACGGCTCTTAAGAAGGCGATGTTCTCACCAGAGAAATCTCGGAGGGCGGAAAATTGCTGTAGTGGCTCGGGGTCTCGTTTAAGGACGTACTCCAGGGCCTCCATAGTAAGAATACTCTCGCCGGAGCCACTGCTCTTGCTGTCCTTGGACCAGGAAGTCAAGGCGGAGTCGGCAACGGTGGCTGATCCAGTGACCATTGACCTGGCACCCCTATCGACAACTCTCTTATTGAGCTGCCATTGGGCGATAGAGTCAAGGGTCTCCTGTCGCAGGGTCTGGTGCTGGATAACCTCATAGCAAGGAAAGAAGACGGTAAAGATCTCAAGTAATATGATTGAGAGGGCAATCCTAAGCAAACGGCTAGTCAGAGAGTTCAATGCCTGACGGAAGTATCATGAAATGGGCCTACCATTGGGGAGGAACCCAGACGTGGTTGACGGGAGCCATGCCAGGAACATACAAAGCAATCAGCCACATAGGGGTAGCATGAAGACTATGTCTAGGTCAGTTTGGAGTTGAGCATAGCCTCAAGGGAGACTGGCCTGGAAATGCAGCAAGCTATGGTTTGAGTCCTCCATCCTTGGGTATCGTTGATATCACGAGACTTCCACAGAATATAGGGGGCAACGATCCATGCCCAGAAGAACTGCCAGAAGACGGACGGCCACCTGGGTACGGGTCAGTATTTGGATGGCTCTCGGGGCGATATCGGGCGTACCATTCCCAGCCGCGGCCCATCTGAGACTTTTGGTAGTCCTCAGTGCCGGTGACTTCAGTGCCGGGGATGCCAAAGGAAGGGTGGAACTTTCGCGAGATAAGAAACATAAAGATTGTAAGGAAAAGCTGTGTAAGTTAGCCATGCATCCAGACCGGTGGTGCAGCATAGTGTCGTACCTGGAAGGTCATGCCGAGACCGACAAGGACAAGGATCTTCTTGGTGTAATCGAGTGTTTGGAAGCGACCCTTCGGGCCGGACTTGGATCGGCGGGGCTTCTCGTGTGAGCTTGCGGCGAAGAGCTCCTTCTGGGTCTTGGCTACATGGAGGAATCGGCTGTTGGAAGCGTGAAACAGAGCAATGCCGAAGGGCAGATAGGTGCTCATGACCCAGTATTCGACCTGGGGTGTGGCTAGAGGGAACCAGACGTAAGCGGTTTGGACGGCACCCCAGTAGAGGTGGAGGAGGATGATGGCAGTAAAGGACAGCGGCAGGCCTCGGATTCTTAACAAGGGCATATTGCGACGACGCCATAGAAAGTACATCCCGCCGGCAAGCATGAAGGTCCAGGCGAAGGTGAAGACCATCCAGAAGATGCCGAGGGCATCAAGCCGCGGCTCGGCTTTTGCGGTGTCCTTGGAACCCGACTCCGCCATTATTCGATGTTTACTTAGAGAAATGTGGGAATCAGAGCTGTACGGATTGATGGGAGGGCCGGCGGGGATGTAGGGAAGTAACGCATGTGGTTGCAAAGGGATGTATAGCCTCCGCAACCTCTGTAGGGGAGAAGGGGAGGTGACAGCGTATTATGTATTGTTAATTGATGGAATGTAAGCCACCCCCTAGTTCCAGCAGAGAGAGCAAAAAAGCCTAGCACGAGAAGCAAAAGGCACCAAGAGAGAAGATAGAAATGGCGCGGCCTATCTCCTCAGCTGCCTCCGCGGCGGCCACGACAGGGTAGTCGGTCCAATCAGAGCACTTTTTAGTGACGATACCTTGGTTTCCCACTGTCTTCCACCCCAGGAAAGAGTCGACCGGTTACAAAGTAATAACAGCACGCTCCCTGAAGCCTCCTGCGGTAGGCGCTAGCTGTTAGAGGCATAACACTGGGGCGGGATGCGGACTGGATAGCCCCGACCATATTCCGGTACTTGGCAACTGGTCGGGAGTCCGATCACTGGGCCTAGAGCCTTTCCGACAGTGGGATGCAAAGAGTATGAAACTTGTATCTTGTACTGGCTCGCTAATTTAGCGGAATTATCCCCTGCCAAAATGGGCCGCTCCAATCAAAAGAGCATTATAAATAAATTAACTGCCCGGTTAGGCCTAGATAACTTAGGCCGGTACAAGATACAAGTTTCTTATTCTTTGCATCCCACTGTACTAGTGGTAACGGGCGAGTGTTCGGCGCGTCGAGATTTTTTCTTTTTGCAGCCCTCAACTGGCGCTCGGTACATCGCGCCACCAAGTCGACAATGCGCTCAGGGCCAGTATTGGCGCCGCCATGACGAAGCTGTGACCTGATTTTCCTCCCTGGCGCTGCATGATTGCCATCGACAAGGGCGTCAAGAATCTCGTCGAGGCATAGGAGCCGCCCTTGACACTCGAGAGTAAACGGTTCCTTTCTCCCTTGTTCTTTATGCGGCGTGACCGTTTGATGTCTTGTCTTGAGCTATCACAATCAAGTCCTGTTTCGAATAGGCTGGCGATGTCTACTGTCTATTGGGCGAGACCGGCGTTGATTCCTGGCTCTTCCGTACAAGGATTAGACGGTCAGGCCCCGGTTCATCTGGGCGGAGAATTTTTTGCTGCTTCTCGCTCCAGACCTGCGGGACGATGCGATGCGACCCATCTCATTTATCCCTTCTGTCGAGGCCTACAGGGAGGAGAGCAGAAAAAAAAGTGTCGGGATCTCTTTGATCACGTCGGCGTTGTGTTGCATTTCAGCAAAACCCACCCCTGCTGACAGACGAGATATCGTGAATACTGGACTCTTTCTCTATCAGTATACTTTTGTTGATTGTTTGTCGTGGACCACGACAATCACCCATGCCACTGTTCACCCGAGGAGCCTATCATCACACGATTGCACTGTCGGAGCCACTTCGCTCTGGACCCGTTGGAGCACGGGCTTCTTTTGCGTGTCGTCGATGTCCTTCAAGCAGGCACAGACAATGGCTTCCATGAGGTGTGGCTTGTGAATGTGATTAGCAAACGTCTTCTGATCTGTTGGGAGTCGTGTCGGGGTATCTGAGGCGTGTTTAGCGCTTGTGAGGCATCGTCGGGTATCCGGACCGAAGGCGATAACAACCTTGTCGGGACGGCTTTAAGTTAGACATTTAGTAGTCAGCAGATCTTAATGTGCCAAATAAGGCCACTGCCTTCTCGGCTCATCCTCCCCGCCGGGTATTTTCTCAGCGGAATGTCAACGCGCCAAGGCCCAAGACCGGCCGGCGTCTAGACGAGGGTGGGCTAATCGCCCGATACTATCGTCATTGCCTCGTAGCAAACGCTTCCAGACCGTTCTGCCCGTGTCAAAGCTACCGGCTGGCTTAAATGTAGTGTGAAGCTCTGATGGCTTTGGCGTCTGCATTGGCCTTCTATCAAGGCGTCCATACAACGGTTTCGATTCCAACTCGTGAGAACGGACCGCGACAGGGGCCGGTGGGGACGCGGAAGCAGGCGGCCCGTGCTTCGCCAGGTCGCATTCGGGCGATCAATAGTACTCCGTACCCGTCCTTCTCGGACTTGGACAGGTCCGTCCAAAACTACATTTGGTATAGCGCCTCCGCTCTCTGCCTTCCCTGAATGGCACTGAGATTAGCTCTGTTGTCCTGATACATCGTCTAGCTATGTTCGTCTACTCAGCCTAGCATCGATCATAAAGTTCCAAACAGTTAAGCTCCAGCCCAGCTAAGCTGGTGCAAAAGCGAGGACCATAAGTATTGATATGCAAAAATAACGTGCTTTTATTTCCGTGACTGAACGATGTGTCTGGGTGTTTTCGGAGGAGCACCGTTCTCATCCATCCCATTGCCGCCATGTCTGGGCGGTGACACTTCGTTTAAGCCGCTTAAACATACCGAAAGGTTGCAGGGTGAAGAGCGCCACAGGCAGGATTCAGGTGAGCGTTACGGAGGACGATTTCAAAAGGCTTGTCCTGGCCGCCAAGCCACATAAATGCATCAGCCAATCAGAGGAGGTTTTATAAGCCCAGTTACATCGGTACTTATGACCCTCTTTCTTTGCTTTTGAAGCCCCTATCTTCCAAGAATGCGGTCCGCTAGGCTTCACCAGACTTTCCCCTGGGCTTCAATAATTGCCCTATAGCTTCAGGGAGTGAATAACTGAAGAGATTTATATCAAAGTACCTCAGGTACCGACAGGGATGAGCGGCCTTGGCGCTAATAGCTCCAGGACAAAACTTTTGAAATCGACCTCCGTACCAACGGCCCGTCTGGCAATGCCAAACGAACGCGGTCGATAAATTCGGCAGATAGTTCGAGAACGTACCGAGCTCGAGAAGATTCACTCCAGGCCCGGCCGTCATATGGAGGTATTATGGTGTTTGAAGAAATCACGGTCGATATTGAAGAAGGAAAGCTAAGAAAAGGGCATAACCTAGGATCTAGAGGCCTAGAGTAATTTGCGATTAGACTAATTAACTTGAAGTTATTATTAGTAATAGGGATTAAGTTCCGATCGATGGGCTACTTTGGAATTAATATTTAGGTAGGCTTATAGATATTTAGCGATATTAGGACGTATAAGAGTTTAGTGAATCTTACCTCTTTATTTGTGGATATTTTGTTTACTGAGACTATTGAGCGGCGCTAGAAAAGGATAATAGAAGAGGCGAGCGGTTGGCGCTATAGGTATACGAATATTCTATATTATTTAGATAGATGGATAAGAGCTATAGCAAATTTCTCGGTTCTTCTAGCTAAATGAGTGACTAAAGCCGGCCTCTGATCTGCTAGTGGCTAGGATGCGGATAATAATCTCTGGACATCTCCCCTCGAGGAATAAGGAGTATATGCTCCTGGAGCTAGATATGATGGTACAGTGAATAGGCCCTTTGAAACCTTAGACATCGTGAAGTCCAGCTGGATAGTTGCCGAGATCCTTTTCGTTGACCTTGACTGCTACACCTGCACAAGCCCTGGCCATGCCGCCGGCCTCTAAGGTCTGTCAACTTCCTCGGCATCACAGGGTGTAAGTTACTAATCTCTATATAATTGGGGCAATATCTTATTCGAATGAAAATATTGGCGTTGCTGTCATCTTTGGGACAAAGATAAGTGTAAGGTGTGCAATAGGATGAATGAGTCGCGTTGGCCACACCTCGGTAAGGACATGAAACGCAATTCTGGAGGCCATGAAGAGAGCAAGAAACACCATAACAACAAGGATTGCCTCACCATACACGTTTGACTCTACTAGTTCATTCAGGACGCGATCGACGCTGCTTCTCGGGGGGTCAGATCCGGGTTGACGGCGACACCTACGCCAAGCATCTAACATGTGAGCAAGACGGGATTGCATTTCTCGAGCTTGACACTATTCTCGTCTTCCTACTCCGCTGTTATCAAGTACTAATTGATCCTAACTAGCCCTGGAGTCTACATAATAGGGCCTAAATTTCACATGGCGCTATTTCTAGCCAGCACTAGAAGGCTCTTAGTGGGAAAGTGATTAGAGAGCGTATCTATCACCGAGTTCTAACTTAGCGACTTCTTAGTATGAACAGAGCCGCAGGCGGTGCTCCGAGCCGTCGGATAATTAGGAACAAGCTCACTAATAGCAGACGGTATAAGGTTTTTATGGCTGGCTCGATTAATTACCAAGTCCATAATAATATCACGCCGTCGTCGACAAAGCTCAGGTTCATCGGCATTTTTATACACAATATGACCAGTGTCCGGATCTTAGATCAATACATTATCATATATGACGCCGCGCTCCATATCTAAACCCCAGGCGCAGACATAACACAATAAGGTCAGCAATAGCTACATTAACGATTTTATCGATTTTAGCATCAACGGCGCTAAGTTCTATCATAGTCACACTATATCAATAAACCCTAGCTCCCGATAACTGCTAATAGGTATTATGTTGGATACCTATGGAATCATTCTTAGTGGCACTGTCAATACTGCGGTCCGGGACAACTGTATCAAGGGACACACTGATGGCTGCCTCGCTGTAACCACAGTGTCGTGGATGGTCCATATGCTGAGCTAAGTTATCCCTCTTTTGCCCTTTTTTATACCGAAGCCGTAAGCCCAGTCAACATGGTCATCCAAGGTACCCTGCACCACAACGATTCCGATCTACCCACCAACAATGCCGAGCCGACAACCCGGACATGTGAAATAAAAGCTCAATACAAGAAGAAGTCTATATCTTATAGGGAGTGCGGGCACTGTGCACGAGGCCCGCAGCCAGCCAATACCATACCAAAAGCAGCAAAACGGTTAAGCCAAAAGTATCAACGGGCGGGCGGATTTCAGACACAGTTACCAGGGGTATTCGATATCTAGTTGGTCGCGGTAACGAGAATCTAATGCCTGAGGTAGTAAGGCGCCTAGTGGTATTTCCCGGGGATTGACATTGTTCATCGGTAGGCAGAGGACCTTCGCTGGCGACACTCGTGAAGATGCATATTGAAGTCGATGAAACTGATCATGCTAGATGAATGCGACTAGCTCCGTGAAAAACTTATATTTGCTCTCGCCTGGCAGCCTAGGTAAGAAAAAACATTAAGAGGCAGGCGTCGATCGCAATCTCAGTCACGATTGTAAGGAGCAGGGCGAGGCAGCGTCTACTCTGACGAACCATAGGATTCAGGATCCAATTGTGCCCCCCTGGTAAACATTTGTCATGTAAACACATGGGATTGGTAACCAACCAAAGCACGTATGCTCTAACCATTGCAGTTATTACCTCTTGCCAGATCTCGCCTCTTCAATCCAGCATTGTGTTTGCATATTAACCCCCCTTGGACCAGCCCAACCATCTAGAACAACCCTCCATCTATTCTATCTCCATTTCCCAATTGGGGTTTGCATGTATGCTTCGAACTTGGCTGACCAATAGGGCGTTCCCCAAAATTCATAATGTGCTACCCACGCCAGGATCTCCGATCCCCTTGCTAAAGCTATCCCTTCTGTGTTTTAGTGCTCGAACGGCGCGTGCCGTTTCAGCCCGCGCGAGTGAATGCACGGATACCAGGCCTGACCGGTCGATGCCATTCCAGCGCCGCTATTTTTCTGGCACCGCCCCTCCCGGCAAATTCCATGTGAGTCAGGCTGTGAGGAGTGATGGCCGTTGAACAGGATGCCAGGTCGAGGAATGCGGGTTCAAAGCCAAGCCACCTGTTTTCAAACGTGTGGTGAGTTCTGACCTTTTAAAGGTGCCTGTGAAACCCAACCACGGCCTCTGGTCCACGCACTTTGGTAGCCTTCAAGCTCTGTCTTCCTGCCACCCTCTGAGTTATAATATATATGAGCGGCTAAAAGAGCTCTCTTGCCGGCTCTTCTACGCCTTGCTTGTCAACTATACTATATACCACAAGTCTTTTCGTTTATATCAACTTACGAGAATCAACATATTTTTTACCACCTCCGATCATCTCGAGCTTCTCATTATAGGGTTTTCTGCCAACCCAAAGCCACCATCGCCACCACAGAACTATAGCCAACGACCTACTTTAGGCTCTTAAAATAGTCAAAGCCCCCCCCCTCTTTTTTTTTTTTTTTTTTTTCTCTATTCTTCTTTCTTCTTCAACCTTGGTTGAATCTCTTGCAAGAGACATACCTCTCGATCCTTCTCCATTTCATGAGCGACAGAGCCTTAGGCGTGCTGAATCCCATGGAAGACGACTCACCCTTTGGGACAGCATATATTTCTCAATCTTTCCAATGGGGGCAATGGTGGCTTGTGGATGAGTCAACGCTGCTACATTTGTCAGCAGACACCAGTAGCGCTGCAAACGGCGTCTACACGTGGGCTGGTCCTTCACTCAATGGCTTCGCCTATAACTTCCATGCCGACTCGACTGACCATTGCAATGATATCAACACTGTAACCCACTTTACCAGTTGGTGGAATGGCCCTGATCCTACTACGGAGGACACGACTCTATCTCTAACTTCTAGGCATATCGTTGCCAAGGAATTGCCTCCAGTCCAGGGCTTCAGATACCCGCCATTAACAGCAAAGAATCCGACTTTGAAGCGGAATTGTGACTCTGACGACCTTCTGACTCGCAAACCCGCTGGACAAAACTTAATAGGCGACGGAAAACTTGATCCATTGGCAGAGAAGGCGAAATATTTAACTGCTCGGGCCAAAAGAAATGCTACCGGCACCGGCAATCTATTAGCCCCATAGTATATCGCCTAAATTAATAGGATTTAAGAATAGAATCGAATTATATCTACTAAATTCTATATTAAGAAGAGGGAAGATATATTAAATCTCGAGTCTAATAATTAGAACTTAGAATATATCCACCGTAATCTATCCGCCTATATAGCCGACCTAATATTCGGGGTATATAAACTTAAGATATAACTTCTATAGCACTCAGGATATAATTATACCCTTATTCAGAACTACCTCGCCTATGACTCCCGTCATTATATACAAAGCTAGGAAAAGGGCCAAGGCGCTATCACGGAGATTACTTTGAGGGATGCAGGGAGGAGGGATATCAAAGCAATGTGAAATAACAGGAGGAGGGTGGCCGGTCTGATGTATCAAAATACGATAAGGGTCGGGCAGGTAAGAGCTCGACGAACAGCGGCATGGGAATATCTCAGAAGGTGGTCTAAGACCACTCCTCCGCAGCTCCGCGGCTAAGAGGAGGGCTTTCATAGTATAGGCTAGAGGCAATGGCAGGGAGGTCCTCGATATGTCTATAAGCTGATTAAGCTGAGTCAACGGATAAAGTAATAAACGCAATGGGATTGGTTCCGCGTTAAAGGCATCTTTTTCTCTTTGCCCATATCTCCCTTACTTTTGAAATCAAAGTCCGGATAAAAACCAAACCATAGTCACGGTGGGGTAGATAATGCATATAAGGTTAATTACCACCTTCGCATATAATACATTGCTTCTTACAGAGGCATAGAGTAAGCTGATGTGGGTTGACCCTTGATGCCGCGAACTGATGTAGGGTAAGGGGAGGGTGCATGTGGCCCTAGCCCCTGCAGCGGCCTCGTTGCTCCCATCACTTAGCCTCTCACCTCGGAAGACAGGTGCCCGTCCAGACGCGAGCCGGCTAGATCTCCCCTCTCGAGGAGTTGGAGGGGAACCCGTGTACGAGAATACATTCCCCGTATGCAAGACGCTATCACCGACAGCTATGCGCCTGTGCGAGTCGGCGTACAGGATATCGCCCGACCCCTGGTGAGTCACCGACATGTACATCTTGGATTCAGGCGGCCTCCTGAAGTGAAAATTTTCAATATAGGTAGATACCGCCTTGACGAGGCGCCGGAATTTGTATCGCACAGGAGTCGGAATTTATCTGGAGTCCAGCCTTGTAGACCAGTGCGACTCGGTCTGCCAACTCCTAACCGGTAAGGCAAGACAACCGGCCGACTTACGGCAGGAGTACAATCGTAAGGAAGCTAGAGGGAGAGTGGATGTCGAGGTCCGGATGTGTCGTCGTATGTGGGGAGCCGTGTTAGAAGTGCCGCGACCCGTGAAGACTGACTAGGGGACGAACTTGGGCAGACGGCTTGATTAGCGGCCGAGCTAACGTACTCTCTGGAATCTTGGATGATGCAATGAAACGCGAATGCTTGGACTGTTGCGCCAGCGGGCCGGTCCGCAGACCGATCGCCGCAGGTTCGAAAATCACGCAGCAGTCGCCCAAGGCGTTTAGTGATTTTGGATGAGAAATGCTGCAAATTCTTCATTTCACCCGTCTTGGCTGCAGTACAAGCGTGTTGGCGCTGGAGCTGTCGATTCCAAGTCCGGAGGGGAGACACACTTGGTCTGATGATGGCCTAGAGCTTCAAGTTTCCGTTCTCTGTTGTCAAGCTCGAGATAGCAATGATTGCGATGCTGTGTAAGTAAGAATCCACTTTGTGGATGGACTACAGTTTCAGCCTCTCACGGAATTCGCATCAAGGCAGTCAATGGCAGCTTAAGCAGTTATTCATCACATTCCTTTGACTGCTATGGCCTTCACAGTTTAAAGTCACTGTCCAACTTCTCTTCCAAGTCGTAGTACGCCCGAAGCTCGGCACAGCACGAATCCGAATTACTTTAGGCATCAAAGTGCTTCCTTGTCGCTAATGTGTTTCTTTACAACTCAGTTGGCCGCCGCCGCTCGTTCATCATCCATCTTTGCACGACACCAGTGCCTCGCCCATTGCAGTAAGCCCATCAACTCCGACTGCTTGACCCTCTTATTTCTCGTCCGAGCCTCGAACGTTGGGGTTCCTGCACCTTCCCCCTGCGCCCGCCCACCCAATGGGCCATTTGGACCCGATTGCACCGATCCTGCAGAGGAGGTGGACTCCGCGGTTCGTAAATAAAGAAGGGATAACTGTTGCTATTATTATGGAAAGACTTGCTAAGTGAGTAAAAAGTAAGACAGTAGTTTAGTACTGTAGAGGCCGAAACCACTATTACCTTAGTGTAAAAAAGATCAGGCATGAACCATTTTCTATAATGCATATGGCTTAGTACAATGTCTTTGCTCGGCGGTACGTTGAGGCTCACAACCTTGCGTGCTCTAAGAGGCCTTTGGGTTGACGGCGTGCACTATGAGGCGCAGCAAGCCACAGCTGAGCTGCATACCCTTTGTCTCCGCGTTCTTGCAACTGCATCTTAGCGTCGTTGTCTCTGCGTTGCCTCCTGCAGCCAAATGCTATAGATCGGTGCCAGCGGCGCTGACGCTATCGATTGCCACAGTCTGGTCGGGCCCGATGTGACCCCTCCTGCAGGTGTATTGTACATATTAAGCCAGCCACTGTGATTTCCTCACGAATTTGGGGGCCGGACACTGGTCGGGACCTTGATCACAGCATCCCGGCTCGAAAGCGCTGGTGGTTGGCAGACAGGCGAAGAGCTAGGCATCGCGGTTGATATCAGACGATTTGCAGACGCGAGCCTCTTGCCACTTGTGCAATGAGGGCCTCTGATATATTGACACGATGAATCCGTTAATACTTGGATACTGCGTGTGATGGCGAATTAGTGCCATTAGATGTTATTTATTGATCAGCAAACTCAGCACTGCGACAGGTTCCAGAGCTCTCTGTGCTCGGATTCAGGCTCGGCCTTCTCCTCTCGTTGCATTCTATTTCTTCAGGTCCCTGCTCCCTCCAATCTGCCGTCCTCGCCTATGTTCGCGGTGGACGGCGGCGCTTTTGCTGGGTTGCTGCCGTTCGAGGCAGGCAGCTGGCCAGGGATGTTTATCAATACCTGACTTCGTGATACTGTTGCCTGAGAACTCACCACAGATGTCGTTACCCCTGGAGAGCAGTCAGTTAACTGAAATGGCCAGGATGCCAAGTACGCTTACCAATATTGCCTGCTAACAATCGTCGGTAGGCACCTTCGCTCCGTCTCAATATATTTGGGGCACCACGATTCCACTAGGTAATAGTGGTGCTGACAGCTCAGCTCTTTCTGCGCGAGGCACGTGTCAGCGTGGAACGTGACAGCCGGAGCAGTGCTCACATAGATGTAATTGCACATCCTGCTATGGGTCCGATGTCGTGAAGACAAGCGTCAAATCAGCGTCCCCAAGAAAGAAGTCGCACTATCGCGTTGCATAACTACAGATACAGAGGACTCAGTCAGAGCAGATGGGGGATTCCTTTATATGTAGCGTCGCCACTGATTGAGACTGGAGGCCATTCTGTGGGAGAGAATTGAGGTCGTGGCAGCCGCGTCGCAGGGCGCGGGCGGTGCTGATTCGTGGTGCAGTCACAGAGGAAAAGCATCCGGGGCTCCTTGAGACAAGGTCAATGAGGCGAGGGGCGCCAGGTGGGCTGGTCAAGGCCGATGTTATATCTCCCTCGCGCCTGTGCAGGGCGAGGATACAGATTCGGCAATGCAATGTTGATGAATTCATGATATCGGCGGCAGCTTTCTTCAGAATACGATGCCAAGAAACTTTGAAAGGGTAGAACCTTTACGTGGCTGCTGCCACGGATCGTGCCGGATGTGTTTCTCAATTGATTGATACTGAGTGAAGAAAGCAGGGAACCAGTCAATGCGCAGATTTGTCACAATTTTTGTCATAGCTGCCGGCTTATTGGAAAATTCGCAGTACGGCTTGAAGGGTTATCTTCTCAATTCGTGTCGCTGTCAACCAAACGCTTTCTTTGCTTTGTGTAGGACCCAGCGTGTCGAGTACGGACCAATAACGCGTGCGTGAGTCTGGTCAGCAATGGTTGGCTTGAGGGAACTTGTGTTGCATGCACAACTCAGGGGTGGCTGGGTGCGCCTGACGAAAACTCGAAGTTGCAAACACCACATTGCCCAACCCGCACCCAAAGGGGCAAACCGCACAGAATTGTTGGCTGGAGGGAACCTTGTGCATGGACAACATCATCGCGCGGGGCCAGGGAACGGGAACAGGGACGTCGAATTCTGGGGTTTGTTGCTAGCCGGGATGTGGATGCATTCAGGTCTCCCAACGCTTGGCGTCACGTTTGGTGGTTGGCTGTCTCGAGTTCGGGCCCATTTTGTGATTCACCAGAGGACCTCGGGTGATTGTGCTGCTTTGTTCTACCCTCTCTCGATGAATCTTCCGAGCGCTTTCTTGATCCCTCGTCGAAGAGAATGGGAGTCAGCCTTAGGCTGAAATCGGGTGGGGGCGCATGTTGCAGCACCGCCGCTGCCAGTGCCACATCTGCCACATCAACCTCCACGTCCTGCACATAATGTGCCAGAGCTACGTGAATCGAGTCCTGGGTTTGAGATTCAATCCATCGCTATAACTTAGCATCTGCGACATACATCCTGCCCGTCTGGAAGGCATCCATGAGCTGCTTTGCTGTGGTGGGCCTTTGGCTGGGTTGCAAACCGCTGGATCGCCAAGTCATAAATCCCCTGCAGGCTTAGTCCAAAAGCGCTAGCAATCAATAGCTCCCAGCCTCACCACTGCCGGCCCCTAAATGTCGGGAAATGATCGGCTTAGCCCCTCCTGAACTGGGCATCGACGTCCATGACTTGCTTCTTCCTTTAAGCCACTGCTGTCCGAGTCGTGCCATGAGTTCAACGTCAGCCAATTAAATCCTGGGCTTGCAGCGCCCGTCTCCCGCCAGCAACCAACGCGACGAATAACACCTCCAGTACAAGCAATCACTCCACCAGGCCGTCAGCCCGAGCCTCGAGCTCCACAGAGCTTTATTTGGTTCTTGGATTGGCCAGCGCCGGTAGTTGACGCTTCATTTAGGACGTTGATGCTGAAGATGTCTGGGATACGGCCGTCAGAGTGGATATCCCTTGGGCAAGGCCCGTTCGCGGGAAGCAGATGGAGCTTTGATGCCGATGGATGAACACCAACCTAAACAGTGCTTTCTTTCGAATGCTGCCCACATCCACCGGGTACAGCAACCGCATGAGTCAACGATGAAAGGGGCCCACTATTGATCAATTCAGGGTGGAGCTAGTGCTGGCAAGCTGGAAGGAGGAGGTGAGGGTTGAGGGACCAGGGATGAGAGCTCATGCCCAACTTCGATCCACGTTCGCAGCCTCTACTAATCCAGCAAATGTCCAGAGAGCACATGCAACTATCTGGCCAGCCCAGCCTCGCGCGCTGATTGTGCGATCAAGAATCCTTTCGACAGAGACCGAAGCATGCTTGAGCTGTTCATTGCCTCCCTCCCCTAAACCTCTTCAAAAAAAAAAAAAAAAAAAGCCGTGGGGGGTTACATGTCGTGTCAGACAGTTGGGTCCCACATCAAGCATTACGACGGCAGTCGTGAGAGGCGTCCTAGACGGTGCCAGTCGATTGATGAGAATTATCTAAAGGGCAAGAACTCAGGATCAAGATGCACTGAGTCGTGCAGCTCTTTACACACAAACGAAAGCGTTGCCAGTTTAGGCAGGAGGAGCTGCCAGCAAGCCAGCTGCTCTAGTTGGGTCAGGGCTTGATATGCGACATGTCGCTCTTGCCAGCGATTGAGCGCTGCGCTCCATTGACTGCCTATGTGACGACTCAGTTAGGAGCCAGTATCGTTGCAGGCAGGATCAGCGGAGGGTGCGGGTATTTTGTACTTGGGCCAATCCGATCTTATGAGTCGGGGGTTCCACTGTCATTCCAAGTTTTGTTGTGTAAGGGAGGTGTTGCATCGAGAGAGATGTCTCTTATGAATGGCACCTGTCCTGGATAAAGCTTTCGCAGCACTCTGTTGCATGGAGGGGCATTCTAGACTTCGCAGGACTGTTTGGGCCGTTGCGCGCAGCTTCTAGGCTTTGCGGAGCCGATAAAATATAAAGTTAACAAGCTGTGGGTTCTTTCCCTCCGGTTCCCGATCAGCCCGATTCAACTCAATCGACTGAAGGCTCAATCGAATCGGGATCGCGGAAAAGCCGATTGAATTGCGATTGTATCGGACTCTCAATCGCCGATCTCAGTCCCGACTGCCTCGACCAGTTGATCTGGGCACCACCCTGAAATGCACTAATCCTGCCAGAAGCCCGATCGATGACTGGGCCTCGTCGCTCTAGGCTCTCCCGATGACATTGATCCCGACTCTTTTCGAAGTAGGGCTGTCCCGGAGAGATCCGGCGCCCCTATTTAACATCCACCAGTCCCCGATGTTTGGGCGCCTTACCATGTTTGCCGGCAGTGGGGCCCCCAGACGCTCAGACGGGGTTTTATCGCTCGCCGTTACTTCCACCAGACAAGCATCCGTGACATGGGAGCACGTCAAATGTGTTGTGCTTTGTGTAACCTCTTAAGTATTTCTTTGTCGGTATGTTTCAGCCTTATGGAGATGGATGATTACCAACTCCCCCCCCGCAGGAGATGCAGGTTGATGACGGTAGCTAGGAAGCCAAATCTCATTCTACTACGGTATGATGGGTAAAGTATGTTAGCTCGCCCCACAACAGCAGGGGTCAGAGAGGTCACTTTCCCGGTCCAGTTTTCAGTTGGGGCTTCGGGCACGGACCCATCACGCCTTGACCACCAAGCCCGGTCTTCACACTGGCCCACCCTAACAATGCGTTCCGCTCCTTTGGGCAACGTTGACCGGGGGGGTTCTGACGGCTCCGCTTTGTCAATGTGGCTATATGTTGGTGAGGAAAAGATACGCAGAGTTCTGTAGCCTCTTCCTGATTAAGGGTCATCTTCATTTCCAGAGCTGTGGCCACAGATAGGAACAGGCCCTCCAATGATGTGGGTGGGTTTTATTGTCCTCGTTGGATTGTGCATAGAGCGTTATGAAGGGCGAGGCTTTGCAGGGGCTTTAAAAGGACCATATATGGCAGGCGTTAGCCCCTTGCAAGTCCCAAAACAACATGTTGCATGGTGGGGCTGAGCGACAGGAGCAGTAAGGTCGCTACAGGGGCCAGGGCAGCATGCATCCTCCCTTTGCCCTAGGTCAGCTCACGA